CGCCCAGCCCGGTGTCTGAGCACTCGTCTCTTGGGAGCGCCGCCTGCCCCTGTACCCAATTCTCCCGCAGCGTCGTACCCAATGTTCAGTTTTCTCTCTTTCGGCGACACAAACTGACCGGCTAAGAGAGAAAACAGCACGAGGAGAAAGCCTCCAAAGGCAACAAAGCAAACCAGAAGACAGAAACCTCCCACGGAGCATCCAGGAGAGGCGCAGCCATGCTGCGGTCCCTACAGAAAACAAGACCATGACAATTGGTTTAGACCAGTTCCTCCTTTGAATAAACAGCAGCAATTAAAGATCAGCTAATTAGCAACAAGCTCTGCAACAGGCTCCTAGCTTCCCCAGCGCTCTGCCACTCCGACAGCAGCGCCGCGTCCGCCTCCAGCCGGCAGGTCTCCAGCGTGGCACCCGGCAGCTACACAATAGCTCGAAGGAAAGGAAAGGGAGTCTGGCGGTCAGTGCCGCAGGCGCCGATTGAACCGGTTCCCCCATCGCATAACGAAGACCCTCTATGTGCAACTGCTTCCAGGCAGGGGGTCATCTTCGGTCCCCTCCTGCTTCCCCCCTTGCTGAGGGGCGAGTTACCAGCTGCGAAGACCCGGGACGCGCTTGTGCCCTTCGGCAAACACGCCAGGCGGCGCGCTCCTCTGGCAGCCCCTGAACCGGGCTCCTGGTGCTCCGATAGGAGACTTGCTTTGACACCTGCCTTGGGATGCGGTCAGCCTCGGCTCCTGCTCAAGGGGACCAATTTCTTTCAAAATCTTCCCCCCACTGACCCTTTCCCTGCGGATAACTGCTTTGTCCCAGCCTCTCTCCTAGTGAAAGTACCCACGCATCCGTTCTGCCAGCGTAATGGACCCGACCCCCACGGGATCGCATGCTGCGCAGTCGGACCAGGCCTCCGCCGAGCCGTCTGGGCAAAAACTGCCGACCAAGACGACAGGCTTTAATAGGCAAGCAGCTGTCATATGGCACCGTGCCCTGACACTGACTGAGCGCCCCGCTCGCTCGCTCGCTCCCTCCACAGCGGCTGCGCTTAGACGCCTGCTCGCAAGCTCACCCTGGCTGCGTCAGCGGAGCGCTTGCACGTCTCTAGCAGGGCTGGCCAATCTGCAGCGCAGACGCACAGCCGGCCCTGGCAGCCTCCGTGCCCGTGGCACACGGCAGAGCGGGGAGAGAGCAGGGAGCACAGGGATAGATGGGGCAGGGAGCAGAAAGCGGAGCAGCAGATCAGGCAGGGAACGCAGGAAAGGCAGCAGAGCAGGCATGCAGCTCAGGGCTGGGGAGAGGAAGCAGAGCAGGAGACGGTGCAGGGGAAGGGGACCGCAGCTCCCCCCCCAGATGCAGAGGCAGTTTGATCGCAGTCCCGTCCCCTTCCCACTCCTTTTCACTGGACACGAGCCCCTGAGGCGAGTACAAGGGGTGCAGGACCAGCACAAGAAGCGGGAGCCCTAACAGTCTTTGGTCCCCACGTGCTGAATTGCCAGCAAAGGGCCCTGTCTGTGCCCAAAGCACTGACCACGCAGATCCCCCCCACAACATTTCACCAGAAGGGCCTCGCTCCTGGTGAGTCTGAACTAAATTTGGAGGAAAAGTTGCTATCTGTGCACACTCAGGTTTCTCGCTCTGCTGCTGACACCGGTTATCTCAGAAACACTTTGCACTTTTCATCCAAAAATCTCCCCGCACTTCAGAAAAAGGAGTTCCAGCATTCACCGAGATGGTTATCCAGCAAGTCAGCAGCAAAGCCAGATGGAGCCTGTATCTCGACTCCCAGCCCCTGCCTTACCCATTAGACCTTGCGCTTCGACTAGAGAAGAAAGGTTTCTTTCCAGCACATTTTCTTTGCTCCTTCTCAAATATTTAAACCAAAACAAACGTGAGCGTGGGCACGTTCTGGGTTTGAGCGACAGAAAACACCCTGGGGCAAAGGAAAGGAGACCAGTGGTGAAACAGCGGGGGCATTTCTCTGCCTCCTCTTGGCCCAGGCTGCCCCTGGGATTTCAGCACCAGTCTGGGCTTCATGGTTCGGGAAAGCTCATCAGACCTTCCCAGTTTCTCGATGTTCGCGAGAAGCGCCGATGGAAACACCGGTCTCGGAGCCCTTCCCCACGTCACCGGCGCTTTGCGGGGAGAAGCGAACGCAACGCACCAGACGCTGGGGGCGAAGCTCCAACTCGCTTCTCTCGCTTCATCGTCCCCCAGTGGCACTGGATGCTCTTCCCGGGGAGGACTCGGAGGCCCATCGCGCTGCGGGCTAACGAAGTCTTGGGATTGTATTTTCGGCAGCAAGTGGCAGAGCAGGAAGTGGCTCTTGGGCAAGCCAAGCAGCCAATAACATGCGATTTAAAAGGAAAATGGCAGAGTAAGGAGGATTGTGTGTGTGATAAGCCTAGTGCGTGCTCTCACCCAGGCAGCATCTGGAGAGGATTTTCTCCAGCAGACAGGGAAGAACTCGATTACATCCAGTTAACTGTGCTCTAAACTGATTATGCATGTGCCAGGCTAATGGATTACATTAGCAAGAGGAAAAATAACATCCAATCAATCTCAATTTACTGCAGACCACACCAAGGTCTGAGAGAAGAGAAACTGGTCCATGAACTACCCCCACTCCTACTCCTTTCAAATGCTTCAGTTGTCAAGGACCCATGGCATCCAAACCACTCGAGGCAGAGGAGGGCCAGAACAAGACCTCAGTGGACGGGTCCATCCGCAGCCACCTTCGCCCATGAAACCCAGCGCTGGGGTAGCGCGCGCGAGGCTGGGCCTTGGAGCCTCCCCGAGGAGCTCCTTGGACAGCCCAGCAGTTACTACGGGGCAGCAACACAAATCAGAGCTCACAGTGGAGTGGGGCGGGGGCATCTCAGGGCAGTCGGGTCCATCCCACTACTGCAAACCCCGTGGGTGTGCAACACCAGTACTGGTCACACACCTGCCCCGGCAGACCGGCGGATGCCAACAGTAAGTATTTGAAACCAAAGCAGTTTCTGCCTCTGCTTGGGGTTTTACGGGAACTTTTACCTCGGAGGCAAATAACATTGTGATCATTTTAAGGGGCATCTGGGGCTTCCAGTGAATCCACCACGCGCCCGTCGGAACGAGCTCCCCTTCCCTGCCCCGGGGACGGCGGTTCCTGAACCAACTTCTGGAGCAGCTCCTGCCGCCTCCTCTCTCCGCAGCTTTCCTCTTCCTGGGATGCGGGGCACACAGCTGTCGTCTTCACTACTTGCCCCCCAAAGAGCACAGCGAAACCAGAAAATCTGAACTAAGAATGTTTTTAAGTGTGGCAACTCCCTTGAGACATCGGGGTGGGGGGGGGATATACATCTAAAAACTAAATAAATACCTTTTCTTGTTCAGAACCAATAAAGATGTCTAAAGAGACTATTAAAGTTTAGACGTGCTGATGCTTGACTCCTGAAAACAGAACCGCCTCCCAGATACCTTCACCCAGCCCCTGGGGCTCCATCTTGCCCCCACTTCCAGCCTAAACTCATTCTCATGCATTTCTTCTTTCAACTTTCCTGAAAGAGGACATATGGAAGCAAAGAGCTAGGAGAGGATTTAGTCGTGTTGGCAGCAGAGCTCGCAGGAGCCCGGCGGCACTTCCCAGGGAGTCAGGGCAGAGTTAGCCAGGACTCCAGCAGGCCCTGTCATCCCACCGCTTCCCCTTGCCTCCTGGACACCCTTGCAGCGGTCCATCTCCTGAAAAACGGCACGCATTTCCACCAGGCATGCTTCCCTCCTCAGCGTGGCGGGGGCTATGCGAGGTCTGAACTCGCCTGACGTAAGAAAATAGTGCTCAAACAGAAAAACAAAGCGAGCAAGAGCAAGAGGAAGAAAAGAAGATACAGGATACAAAACGAGAGTGCTTGAAGTCTATAAAAATATTGAATAGCTCTTTAGATATCAGGGAAGGAAGGGAGAAAAAAGATAATACAAAAATTGAGCAAAATGAGAAGACCGCGAGAAAGACAGGGCATGTGTGAGTGGAAGGTATGTGAAGTGAGCCTGCTTAGATTTATGGCATTTTGTACCTGACTGTTCATACTAAAGCCATTATGGGATGATTAGAGAAAAAGGTGAAGCTTTAAGTCCAGTGAAAATCAATAGAAACGTCTGGAGCAATTCTGCAGCGCGAGTGAAAGGACTATTTACTGTATCCGGCGCTCCTCTTGGGTTACAGCCCGCAGGGGTCGGAGAGGGGGGCCACGGGGGAGCAGCAGCAAGGCAGGGCACGAGAAGGTGCTTCCGGGGAGGACAGAAAATTGGAGACAAGCAGGGGGAAGACAAACCGAGATAGATGGCAGCTGGGGGCCAATTCTTAGCACGCTTGGTGAACGGATGGCCAAGATGGGCAGAGCGCCTCCTGTCAACACCGTGCATATCCAGGCAGAATTGGTTTTCCCTCCGTTTTGCCCTCTTTCACATGTAGGCTCAAATCAGCAGTTTAAATTACAAACCACCAGCCCCATCCAAACAGGGCAAAAGAAACGGGAGCTTGCCCACATGCCTTCTCCATGCCAGCACGACCATGCAGGGGTCTCCAAGCTCTGCGGGCGCAGCCTCGGAGGGAGAAAACCCCACCCGGCGCGTCCCGTCCCGGACCGGGAATGGAGAACAGTGCTTTGGACCAAGATACTCAGCAGTGACACCGCTTTGTGGATGGTCACCGCAACACGTCTTACCGCACCGGGTCTTCAGATGACGGAGGCTCAGCACCTCCTGAAAAACCCGACCCGCTTAAGGCACCTCCAAATGGATATTCCGAATTGCTAGTCACTTCTGAAAAGCCTGGCCTAAGGAGTCAAGAGCTCGAGGGAATCGCTAGCAAAATGCAAGCTGAGGAGATGAATGATACCATCTGGCTGGAGCCCACTTGCAAGAGACTAAGGCCAAATCCCCTCCAGGATTTAAGCTCCCTCTCCACTCTGGCTCAAAACAGTGTCTTAGATGCTTCCCCACAAGGAAAAGTTAGAGAAGCCATCCCTTACCTTGTAGAGCTTCAGGCTCGCCTCATGCCTGGAGTTAACCGTATGAAGACGCAGCTTCTCCAGACTGTTAGTGTAGTAGTCGCAGGCATTGCACTTCAGATGTACAGGGTTCCCAATGGCCACACACTTCAGCCTCCACTCGTTGGCCTTGCCACCCTCCTTGATGTGTGCTACCAGCTGGTATTTCTGCACATGCTTGTCCGTCTTACAGTGGAGCTGGAAGTTTGCCTTGAGCTGCGTGTTGTAGCGGCACAGCTTGCACTGGTACGAGTCCCCCATCACCGCCTTCCACTCCTCCTCGGGGAGGCTGCGCTCCACGTTCATGTGCAGCCCCAGCATGTCCAGGTTGTCGGTCGTGAACTTGTTGCACACGGCACACTGGAAGAGCTTCAGGGAAGGGTCGTTCGTTTGCGTGAAGCTCTCGCCCAGGTTCATCAGCTCCTCGGACACCAGCTGCCCGCCCCCCAGCCGCATGTCCAGGGGGATCTCTCCGCCCACTGCACAAAGGAGAGGGGAAGAGAGTCAGAAAAGCTCATGCTGAACCCACTGAGAGGATCAACCCAGACCGTTCCCTCCCGCCGCGTGCCCTGTACCACAACCCGTCAGGCCCTGCGCCCAAAGCAACGTACCTCAGTCCTCCTTTCCCCCGCCCAAGCCTCCGCCCGGTTCAAGGAACAAAGTGCCAGCCCTCGGATTTGCAGAGCCGAGCGGCCCTTGCTGCCCAGCCCCGCGCTCGCCACGCTGCCCCTTGCTAGTCAAAGAGACCAGAAAAATCTGACTCCTTACCGAGTCGGGTCTCTGCAGTGAAACACTCCACCAGGCTCTCCGACTTGCTCACAGTGGCAAGAAAGCAGGAGAGAGATCCCATTAAGTCACCTCCTGCTACCTCCAAAGCTAGGCCCCACCGAGCAAGAGACTCTCGCGCCCCGGTGCCAAGTACGAGTGCTACAGGTGCTGCATGTCGGGCCTCAAGGTGCTGCAATGTCAGGAGGAAGCAACTGGCAGGAGCAGGAAGCAGCTGCTTCCCAAATGCAAGGCTCCTTCATATCTGACCTCGGCACCCGTCAGAGCTAAACGATGCAAAATGGCCGAGAGCCTCAGAGGGGAGGCTGGCCGAGGAGAGACTGCATGCCCGGGAAAGAATGATGGCTAATGATCAGGGAAGTGCACGAGTACGTGTGTCGGGGAGAGCCCGTAAGAAGCATGCTCCCTCTCTCACTGTCATATCCCTGCTCTTCAAATCATCATTGACCCAGCTAAACCAAGAGCTGACCTCCATTCACTTACAGCAAATTAATACAGCAAGCTCTTATTTATGTCATTAGAAAGGCCTAAGGATGTGGACAGAGGGGAGGCTTGCTCTCCATTACCTGGATCTCATGGCTAAACACAGAACCCAACCACGAGCCTCTCCTGAGGGACTGCACTCTTCCTTCCTCCCCTGACGTCTCAGCTGCCGTGGGACGATCTCTCTCCTTCGGTACTTAACCCTGACTCTGTGTCCCTGCTTGCCCAGGGGGCGTTTTAGATCCGAGCAGCCTCCCAGACACTGGCTCATTAAAAAAAAAGAGGAGCTGCTATTCCTTATTTTTCTTTCCATGCAATCAGTGGTTTACGGAGGCACAGCCACCAGTGGAAGTCGGCTACATCTGAAGAGCCGGCTTGCGGAGACTGCGAAATCCAGAAGCCAGCACGCGCTCTTTCTAGAGCACGTGTTTCTGGGTGGTTTTGGTTGAAGCTCTCCAGCCTTCAACGCCCATCTTGTATGACACGTGCTATTACCTCTTCCCTGCAAAGTGCAATTCAATAATAACTGTTATTGTTCAGGGAAGGGAAGGGAACTGGAGTATTTGGTACGTTCTGGATGCAAGGCCCAGGTTCCTGGAGTATAAAACCGTGCCCATAAACCAGTGCTTTCCAACCTTTTTTCATTTGTGGACCCAGAGCAAACTTTGAATGAAAGTGCACACCCCTCCGAATGGTAAGTGTGGGTATTCACCTACTTTTGATTGATAACTGTCATCTTTTGCGGGTCCCTTAGACATAAGGGCCTCCATGGACCACAGGTTGAAAACCACTGCCAGAAAGCGCAGGAGAAAAGGGTAGTGAGGGACTAGCCCCCACGCACACGACTCCTTCCCACATGCCAGAGCTCACCCAGAACAGGAGCCCTTCCTCCACCTGCTACTCACAATCCCAACCGCTGCGCTGGTTCGTCTCCTCCATCTCCGCCAGGGCACAGAGCGATGCCCCAGGGCACTTACTGGCCTGCTCACTTGTAGCACCCTACAATGGGCTTCATCGGTTTTTCCATCACTTCCCACCCCACCAGAAAGATTTCTCTGACATGTAACTTCAATTACTGCTTTGAATCAGTCTGCTCCCAACCGGGAGTCAACTGGATGGAAATGGAGCCCGCTGAACAAACCGCGACTCTTCCACTCGGAGCCAGACCTGCTGAAAAAGGCTTGAAAAAGGCAAACCTCCTCGTCTGCTTAGATTGCAAAACAAAAACCGTGTTTTTAGATCTCAGCAAACAAAAATGAAGAGAAGAGGTGACACATGACTGCAGGGGAAGGGGTAAGAGGTTCAAGATGCATCCATACAGCGCAAAACCAATTGCAACAGAGCCAAAGTAAAAGATTTATCCTAATAGCTGGATCTGTGCCAAGTGCTTATCCACATGGAAAGCCCCCTCCCCTGATTCAGGCTCAAGACCTGTAGTCATCAAGTGCCTGAGTCATAAATCACTCCCCACATAAGCTTAGATGCATTCAAGATCTCTGCATTCAGTTGGAGTCGTTGAAGAACGAGACCTCAGTTGAGAGACTCCCATTTCCTCTTGAAAGCTTGCCTCTGGCTTTAGGCAGGTGAGCTGGGGACAGAGTTTCTCGCAGGAAATCTCAACAGCCTGGCTACCGCTAGGAACACTACAGGCAACAAGGCACAAAACAAACAAGTAGAAATTATTTCTATCGCCAACATGGAATCACTGAGAAAAAACACTCGCAGACAACATCCCGCTACCAGCCTGAGAGAGGCAAACCAGGACAGCAGAGGCGCATGGAAAAAAACCTGTCATTACATTCACCTCGAACTGCTTGCATTTTGCTTATAACTACTTGCATTCCTCCATATCTATACGCATATCTATTTAACTTGCTGGTGTTTTTGTCTTCAAACTTAAGCTTCTCAGCCCCCTCTGCACAACAGTAACTACTGCTATAGGGCACAAGAGAAGGGAAGGGGAAGAGCTAGGATTACGATGCATTAGCAATAATGGACGCTGACCAAGACAACCCATCCCATTTCAATGGATGGAAAAGGTTACAAATGGCAGAGAACATAGGAGCAGGATTAGTTCACAGGGATGTAGCTAAAGCAGATGGTTTCCTTCTGGAAATGGAGTGCTTTAGTGTAACGGGTGGAAAGGAAGCGCCGGGCCGGCTGGGAACTCCCTTGCACTTGCCCCAGCTGCGGTGGGCTCTGCCACGCGGCCTCGTTTCGTCTGGACTGGCTCTGGGCAGCACAGATCTGTAGGGATGCACGGGCGAATGGGTAAGTGCCCGCGGGGAAGAGGTGGCTGCCACTCCTGTCTCCTGATGTGCCGCTCTAGCGGTCTAGGGGCTGACCCCCCACCCCCGATATTAACTTCACTCTCAGGTTAAGTTCCCCAGGTTAGAGACTACGACTTTACACAGTCTCGCTGCACCAACCGGTGCTGCGCACAAATACAAATTAACGTCCCATTTTCAGGCCAGGAACTTGGGTGCAAGGGGAAAATATCCATTCAATGAACATCCTGCACGGACGACAAACCCCTTCAAAAAGACAGATTCTCTCCTCTTCCCACGCACAAGTAGTCTGGCCAATCCTTCTTTGCCCAACCAGCCAAGTCCGAGCGTCTCGCACCTCCAACCAGCATCCAGTGGAACGGTCTCCACCAACACAAAGTGCGCTTTACAAACATCCTTGGCGCTCCTCCATCTCGTCTACCCGCACCAGCCAATCGGGGCAACACCTCTGTGCAACTCAGCTTCCCTGCGATTAAGTAACCTAACAAACACCCTCGTTAGCAGAGTCTGGCTGGCAAGTGCCGCACTCTCCCCAAACCCACCAATATGGAAAAGAAAACACCAACGAGCGCCTCCCTCTCCAAACGAAGACCACGTGGGTGGAAGGCGTCACAGAGGCCTCCTTGCTGGGGGTGTCGAAGAACACGTCACGTGTGCTGGCAGGGACTACCCGCAGCATCCCTCCCAGTTTCACTCCAGCCAGAGGTCTCCAAAACGCACAGGAAAAACAAAAAAAAACTGAGAGAAACACAAAAGGATGCTCTGACATATCTAAAGATGAGAAAATGAGTCCAGCAGGGATGGGGCCCTACCGCAGTATGCACGAATGACCGGTGGGACTGGGGAAAGCCGACCTCCACCCGCCGGGCTTGCCAGCACAGGAAACTCCTCCCCACACACACAGACATCACATTAGCAAACAGTTGAGCCTCACCTAGAGATGGAGCCATAGTTGCCATAGGGTTGGTCGGATCGAGCTGGAATCCGCCCATCATGAACTGTGCATCAGAGGAAGTGCTTTCCATCTTCAGGTTGGGCAGATTCATGTTTTGTGCCAGGTAGTACTGGTAAAGCTCAGCCTCAGCCGGCGAGGGCAGGCTGCCGAGGCCCAGGTGCCGGTTGTGTTGGATTTGGGACATGTTCTGCTGAAGCAGCATCATGTTGTGCATGTGTTTCTCACTGGTCATGTGAATGCGAAGGTTCCTAGCTACATTGGTCTCGTAGTCGCATACCTCACACCGCCAGGTGGGTTTGGTTTTTGGTTTGGTGGGGGAGGGGGCCCCACAGGTGCTACCAATGTTTGCTGCCGCAGCCGCAGCCGCCGCCGCAGCCGCTGCCGCCGCCCCAGCACTGTGGCTGAAGACTTGCTCCCCCCCTCCGTTCTGCAGGTTTTGCATGTTGTTGAGATGCTTGTCGGACTGCATATGAATACTGAGGTTGCCTTTGGTAGTAGTGGAGTAGTTACAGACCTCGCAACGGAAAGGCTTGTAACCACAAGTGTAGCTCTCGCCCCGTGCCAACCGTGGGTGTGGCTGCCCACTTTTGCAGTAGACACACGAGCCACCGGGCTCGGGGTGCTTCTCCTTCATGTGCGCTTCAAGTGTCTGCTGGTACTTGTAGTGCCAATTGCACTTGGGACACTTCAGCGTTTTACATGAGTTGCGAGAATGCATCATGGTCATATGGCCGCCTAGCGATCGTGAGGAGCCCAGGACAGTGTCACACTTGGGGCACTCCACACCGCTCCCCGAGGGGCACTCCCCACCCCCAAGCTCGCAGAGGGGGCCAGCATGCTGGTGATGGGAGATGTAGCTCCCGTCGTCGCCCTCTGCACTCTCATTTGGTTCTGGTGCTGTGGCATTGTCTTTATTGGCACTTTCATCGATAAAGTCCAACCTCCTGCCGCCCTCTGCCACACTGGCTCCACCACCCTCACTGTTAAAGCTTAAATGATTCCTCCTGCTTGCACCATCAAAGACAAAGGAAGAAGCAGAATTAGAACTAGTAGAAGCTGTGCCCCGGGACAGGGTCTGGAGCACATTAGGCATTAAGGGAGAGTTAGAAATGCTTTGGTTTGAGAGAGCAAGGTCCTTTTTGCTGCTGCTACCTGCCACAGCCCCAGATTCTTCATGGGGCCTGTCCTCCAGTTCGTCCTCCAACTCGCTCGGAAACAGTCCTTTGCAACCCTCATCATCGTCTTCCTCTTCCTCCTCTTCCTCCTCCTCCTCCTCCTCCTCCACATCCTCCTCTTCGTCGTCCTCCACCTCCTCAGCTGGCTCTGCCTTTTCCGAGAGGCTATCCTGGTCACCCATTTCTTGCTTCTCACTCTCTGCTACCCCAGGGTCCTTTCCCTCTGAGGATTTGGTAGGACTGGAAGCCAGCGGGCCCAGGGGGACTGAGGTAATTGGGGTCTTCAGAGCCGAGCTGGTCAGCCCACCAAGGTTCAAGAGGGCACCAGGCGCCAAGATGCCTGACTGTGGCTGCTCTGCTCCACCGGCAGTCCCGGCCTGGAGAGCCTCTTCACCTTCCATTCGAATGCCACTGAATTTACCGTAAAAACTGTGTCCAGGGCCTATGAGGTTAGCTGTGGAAACTAAAGGGTGTTGAAAGGTTTTGTTTTTTGGTTCCAGAAAACTTACAAGGGGCTCCTTGTCTTTGCCTATCCCTTGGATGATAGCGGAGATGTTCTTATTGCTAAGAATTTTCCGCTCCTCCTCACTTAGAGTCATTCGATGGTCATGCACTGCATGGGTCACAAACGAGCGGACATACCCAAAGGACAGCTTGCACAAGAAACACATCAGGATGGGCTTCCTCTTCCCATAGAGCACAAAGCCATCAAATTTGGACAGGTCCACATTGTTGGGAACATCTTTGGATACACAGGAACTTTTGGCAGAACCGTCGCTGTTCAGGTAATCCTTGTTGCTTTTGTGTCGCACATCGAAAACGCGGAAGCTGTGCAGGACGGGGCTGATGCCCGTCAGGGCTGAGGTATTCGGGAAGGACTGGTCTGAGCCCTCAAACCATTTCCCGAAGGATGAGGCTATGTGGAAAGTATTAATGATCTGTGGGTAGACGGGGGCAGCAGAGGAGGGGTCCCCTTGCTTGCCCCCCGCACTGGGTAGAGAGTTCATAAAGAGCGAAGGGAGAGCCCCACTGCTGTTGCCATTGCCACTGCTACAGGCTCCCCCGCTTTGGATCAACTGGCTGACGCTTTCGACAATGTATGCCGAGCCGTCTGGCTGGTAGACGATTTCACCAGCCAGGTTCTCCACATCGCTCTCCTCGTCCCCCTCCTCACTGGTGTCGCTCCCACTCTCCTCCTTCAGCGGAGGCGGGGGGCGGGCACTGGGGCAATGGTGCTCCATGTAGGTCTGTAAACTGGCGAAGGAGGCTGAGCATTCGTTGCAGCTGACCTCTTTGCTCGTGGACTCCGTATTGGGGCCAGCCGAGTTGGTGCTGTCTGGGATGCGCTCGTTAAAGGGGACCCTCAGGCTGTCCAGGGGCCCGCGGTTTTCCGTTGCGGACTGCTCCATAGTACTGGGTTTGTCAGGGAGGTGGGTGCTGTTAAGTTCAGTCCATTGCTGGTGCTGAGGGATGCTGCACCCATTGTCCTTCCCAGAGATGACAGGCGAGTCACAGCCTTCCATGGTAAGGCCTGCATGGAGCTTTCATTGCACCCAGTACGGCGTGGACCTGAAAGGCAAACAGAAGGGGGGAGAAAGACAGAATCAGAAAGGCGAGTAAGTCAGCGAGAAGGCACAGCCCGCACAGACAGTCATCACACCGCGCAGAGCCTGCGGCCCCGCCACGGCCCGGGGGCTGCACGATAGCGAGCGGCTCGCTAACGAGCTCCTGGAGCGTGGGGCTGACTTAAAGCAGCGAGGGTGAGGCCGAAGAACGAAGCCAGCGAAACCACCGAGCACGCCTGGTCAAGGGAGCGTGCAACCCGTTGGTCACGAGGGAGGAGGGGGCCAGGCCCCTCGTTTTGCCACTCGCTACAGAAGTCCGAAAAGCAAGAGACTCCTGGAGAGACTGGAGAGGAGCACGGTGGCATGCGTGCAAGACCCTGCTGAAGACGGTAGCCGCGGCGTCTCACCCCAAACAGCCGAGAGCCTTTAAAAAATATTAACATAAGAATTTCAAGCCGGACGAGCCTTTGGAGAGACGCCTTGAGCCAGCTCCGCGGCAGATTTTAGCAGGGAGCCCCTGGGACCCTGCTTCCGGCTCCCTCCGCCCGCCAGCATCCCGTCACACAGAAACAGGGCTGCATCACCGCTAAGCCAAGGACGCAAATGCACCTTGCTGGCTGGGATAAGTCTCCTTCCGTGCAGACAAACCACTGCCTCCCCTGTACCTTCTCTGCATGTTTAGCTGGCAACTCCAGTTCAACACGGCCGAAGCTGTGCTCACGACTGCCCCCGGCCGCTCTCCCTTAGTCCCGGCTGCGTTCGACTCTGCCCTCCCTCCAGACCCGCAGGATACATCCAGGATGTATAAAGCTTCCTGCGCCTTCTTGGTAACACTGAGACCTGGTCTTCCTGCTACCTAGAAAGCCCAAACTCTTCCAGGTCCTCAGCGCCCCATAACTCTGCTATCACAGCTGCTCCCTTTCGGTAGACTATGCCAGCCTGGTCACTCGAACACTGAAGTCACCTTCCTACCACGAGCCATATCTTCCCCGTGCCCCCTGCATCCCTCCCCAGATTTCCCCCCCTCCCTTAACAAACATGAGCTATTTGGTCACGATATTTAAGGTCCTTCATGGACTGTTTTGGTCCTGCGCGTCTTGCAGAGGAACACAACCATCAACGCCCTACCTGAGTCAAGACCGCCAGGCAGGATTTCCCTTTGAGAAATGTCCCTTTCCAGCAAGCCCCTTCATGCTTCTCCCTCAGCACCCTACCACGACCAGTGCATTGCCCCGCTCCCTCCCCGAGACCCACCAGAGGCGCAATGTCTACAGAACACCCTGGCGGGAGCTACCCACACCGCGAGCGGTGATCACCGGTTAGTTCCCCAAGAACAACCGTCTCGCTGTTTCCTCCTGCTCCCGGTTTGCTGCGTTGCACGCTTTCTCGTGCTCTACTTCGGCAGGCAGCTCTTTGGGGCACCTTACGGTACTTACAGGCACAAAGGGACCAGCCACGACTAGGCTCTGTAGGACTACCACACTATAACCGCCACGCACCCCTAATAATGGATTGCAAAGTACTGGGAGTTCGCTGAATGATACAGATAGCCAAAAATAAGAGAGACAGACAGACGGCCTTCCCCTCCCCTCCGCCCGGGGAGATACGCCTTTCCTCTCTGCAGAGCGTGGGTACTACACCAGTGGAAATACAGTGGTCTCTTTATCATCATCTCGTTGCCAAAAACCACAGAAATCAGAGCTCAAAAACCCAAAAGTCACCTAGGACATGCTTCTACCATTGCAGGATTTGTCCCGACAGTGCTTTTTCTGCAGCCTAGTCCAGCCTAGTCGTCAGCTAGAGTACTGCCATGTCCACCGCTTCGGGAGACCGTCTCGAAGTCCTTGCTCAAATGCATCCTTGTCAGGAGTTCTTGCTGGTGGTCAGTGCCATTTTTTTTCATTTCTTAGTACTATACCATTGCTCCTAATTAAGTCTCATTGTGTCAACCCAAGTAACACATTTATATCCACGTAATTGTTTTCAATGGTCACAGATCCTTGGCCTCTGATGTTCCTCCTCTAACTAGTCAATATTTCTCTACTCCAAACTGAACACAAACCTGGTCTGGTCAAACTGGCCGTCCAGAGGAGTTCAGCTTCACTGATCTATAGACACAATCCTTGCTGAAATACAAGCCAGCATTGCAGCTGCCTTTTCTGCAGCCCTCTTGCTTTGACCAGCACTCTAATTAGCCGCCTGCTACCATGTGACGGTCTCTTTCGACACTAACTAATCAGGGCTTTGATGATTAAAAGTGCTATTTAAATGCTAAGTGTTATAATCAGAGTTTTAAAATTCACCTGACACCTTCTAGCCTGAGTTACGGACCTAGTAGCCGTGATGCACAAACAACCACGCGGCCATGGCCTTGCAAAGACTCGAGTCTGCAACTGAACGGAGTACTCATCTGCGCACCGCCCGGGTCTGAGCGACATCGGTGTCGACGACCACGAGCCGCTCTGCCCTGCAGGTATCTGGTCCGTCTGCGCCGTGCCGCACCGCGCCGCACCCTGGGACAATCCGGAACAAAAGCAGAGACCGCGGAGCCGCCCGACTTCACGCTCCTGGCTCCAACCTTAACCAAGGCTCGAAAATTAAATTATCCTGAAGTAGAAACTTGGAAAGGCACCTGCCACCGGCAGATAGCTCCTCGCCCTGGGAAGCAGAGTTTTAACGCTGCGACTAGAACGACCTGCACCTACCAGACTCAGCCCGGTAACATTTGGGCCTGCTGGCCCTTCTCCCAGACTGGTTCCTGTTGGCTCCGCGCGAGGTGCTTAGTCAGCCCCGAACACCTGGCCCGCTGCTTTTGTTCACATTACTTCTGCCGCATGGATTGAAAATGGATGAGGCTCCCAGCCAAACCAGTGGGAGCCCAAGTTGTCTGCACACAAAAAATCAAGACAAACTAATAGAAACCCAAACCAACCCCTGCATCCCCTTCAGGCAGCGACTGCCCGTTTTCTTGAGAAAGCAGCTCTCTTCTGGGAACGCGCATCTAGGCCGGAAAACGCAGCAGAAGAGAGTTGCACCTTCCTCCCAGAAAGCTAGCCGTCTCTACTCACATGGGAATCAACTCCTTGCACATAAAAACGACGGTGTGCAAGAAACTGGCTCTCTTTGTAACCTCTGAAGCATGACTACGTGATGGGTCTCATTTATGCGATATTATTCATTTACACAAAACCAAAACAAGAGGGCCAGCCCGGACTGGAGAGTGCAACAGGCTCCCAAGACGCACTGCGACCCGCTGCGCGGCGGCCAGCCGACGTGGCGCTGGCGCTGGGACCGCACCTGAGCGGGGAAGGACGCCTGATTGACAGTTGGGCCAAGAGGGCTAGCAGAGCCGATGGGGCGGGAGGGTTAACAGCCTGATTGTAAAATCAATGTCATAAATGCTTGGTAAGTTACAGGAACATGCGGGAAGAGGAGGCCGCGATTGATAAAGGACTGCGGCTTTGATGCTGCACTGGGGACTTGTTTATTGACAGGAAAGCCAATCTCCTCTCCAAGCCAGGCCAGGCCAGAGAAACCTGCAAGCGTTTACCAATTAATTGGTGGGCTTTTCTGCCTCTCTCTTGCTCTAACAACTCTTCCCCTACTCAACAAGTTAAGCAGCTAAGGAAACGCTGCTTTCAAGAACTCTGCTTTCTTCTTCCACGTCCTGAAACTCAGAAGCCATCTCTGGCAAGCAAACGTTCGCGTGCCAGCACCGCTTCCAGCGGCCCCGGGACAGATTTCGGTCCTCAGCTGCCGGGTTTCCTTGCTCACCTGCAGGACACGAGCAACTCTGCCCGGCGGGGCCGAGGCAGGAGAACAGGAAGGTCCACTTCCGCGTGCGCACAGACTGCCGACACCGGCCCCTCAGTGCGAGGAGCCAAATGCTCCGGTTCAAGCAAACCCGGCAGTAATGGGGACTGCTGTATCATCAGTGCGACGCCAGCGTCTCGCCTCTTCTTCCACCCCTGGCCCCACGAAGTTTAACATCCTGCGACCGGCTCAGCGCAGGGGCAGAACGTACTTGAGGACAGGCTGATCCTTTCTGCATCCAGCACTTCCCCATCCTCTTCCCATCTCTCCCTCCTTTCTCTCTGTTTATCAGCCAGTCAATAAGAAAAGGTAGTTCTTACTTAAAGGAGGCAGAAGTCAACTCGTCAGGTCGATCAGCACTGTCTGTAAACATGGTTTCCCGTAAAATCAATGAACTTCAGTCATAGAGAGAACAGTGTGCGAACCCAAAGCCTCCCCGTGCACACACGCTGCAGCGAGCCGGAGGGAAGAGCTCTCCTTCCATCGCTCCGCCGGCCTCTTCTCCACCGCCTCGACCGGCCTTCGGACTTCTGCCGCCCCAGCTCCGCTTTCGCTCGAAACGCCTTTCCGCCCCCTGCATCCGTCCCTTTACCTCGGTCTCCGGGCCCCTTTTCCCCAGGCTTGCCCAATCCCAGACCCTGGGAACTGAGGAAGGACGAGGTGGTATCTTCACCCCCCGAACAGCGCTCTGCTTGGGGCTAAGCTGCATTCAGGTGGGAGGCACGTGAGCGAGACTTTACAACGAAACATCCCGACGACGTTCCTCGAGACCCCACTAAGCCCAGCTCCCTCTTTTGCAGCCAAAATACACAGAGTCAACCCCAGCATCCGCTGAAGGTCCCCGGCACCCAAGCCCTGGCTCCCCGCACAAAGTTGGCCACCTCCGGGTTCCCAGGACGAGCTCGGCGCTCGGCTCGGGGCCGGACCAGCGCTCCCGCGCCCCTCAAGGGCCGAGCCTGCACCAGCGAGGGGAGTGGGGGGAGAAGCGGGGTCCTGCTGTTGCCCAGGCTTCCTGAGAATTAGATACGAACAGCCGTGCTGTGTAAATTTTAAATTGTTAATTAGCACAGGGTTAATTAGGCGGCCCTTTCACAAGAGGCTGTTTGGCAGTAAACCAAGACTCAAAGCAATGAGGAGGGAGGAAAACAAAAGGAGAAGGAGACAGTGAGAAACTGTTCCTCCGCTAATGAC